GGCGGCCCCCGACGCCCGGAGCCGCCGCGCGAGCCGCGGGACAGCCCGCCTCCCCCAGGCCCTCGCCGTTTCAATAAAACACGACTGTGCGGGTACAGCCCTCTCCACATTACAATGAGGTTGTCACAGACTGTCATGAAGACCTCAGGAAAACAATGAAGACGTTATTGGGCACCCCCCACCCCCCAGGCAAGGTATTAGGGGAATAAAACAATCTACTCCACGCGGGTCCTATTGAGATTAATGAAAAAATTATGCAAAAAAAGCCTCAGTTTCATTTTCCCGAGACAGGGCTTTGCACACATACAGTCAGTCTTGCTTTGCACCTGATGATTTATTAAACTAATCTACAGTGATCACCACTGATGTTCTCAACTCAATCTTGTCCAGGCTCATTTTCTAAGTAATTGTTTCTCATTAGTTCTGATAATGTTTTAATAGTGTTGCCCATAATTTAGGCCCCAAGAATTAATAACAGGGGGGTGATATGGCAAAGTGGCTTGTGATGAGCTACACAAACTATAAACAGGTATGGTTTTTAATTAATCGGGTTACTGCAAAATCCTCTTTTTGCGTCGGCGCCTAGCTCAGAGGAATTCCCCAGGTGGGCCTTTGCCCTCATGTCCAGTGGGATCAGTCGGCCCAGCCCGCCCTCATTCCCTGTGATACCTGGCCCCACCCCGCAGAGGGTCGCGGGTGGGAAAACAGTGGTGGTACCTTGTCTCCCAGCATCTCCTTGTCCTGGGGTTTTATCTTTCAAGGAACGAGGCACAACGGGTCTATGACTCGGACTAAACTCTTTGTGGCCCTCAGAGTCTCTGCTCAGAGTGGGCACTTAGTTGAGATTTTTGGCTCTGGTGGGTTCCTGTGTCATGATCCTACCATAATCAGGACCAGGGGGTTATCAGGAAGATGATGAATCTGATGCTTGGGGAGATTTACACAGCAAGGTGGCTTTGTTGGAATAAAGTGCAGTTTGAGATAAAGGGTGTGGTGACTGGTCCAACATGCTGGGGACCTAGGAACCCAGAGGCCTGTTGGTGATGGGGGTGGAGACCTTGCTGAGGGGACTGCTTTGCCCACAGTCTAAATGCCTTCATCACAGCATCTGAGGTTCCCTCACAGAACAACTTGGCTCTAGGTGAGCTCCTGGCTTGAGGAGGCTCCCTGTAGGGTTTGGGGGTTGTCTGTGTGACGGGTGGAGACTGGAACATCTTGCCCTTTCATCCTGTCAGGAGTGTGGGGGGGTTATCTGGACTAACACAGAGGATGGGAAGGGCAGTTGGGTTGAAGTGGGGGTTGCCTGTCAGGGAAATACGAAGGAAGGTTTTTATTTTCCTCTTTTGCTTAAGACTGGTCTGGTCCTGCCTACACTTTTAGCACGCTGAGAGGGGTGGGGGAGAGAGAGAGAGAGAAAGAGAGAGAGAGAGAGAGAGAGAGAGAGAGAGTGTGTGTGTGTGTGTGTGTGACAGGTCAGAATGAGAGGAGGCCTTTGCCTTCTAAGCAGTCCTGTGTCTGTGCTTTGAGCAGAGGGGTCTGACTGTGTGGACACCTATAGTTCCGGATCATCCGTGTGCACACCTGGCTACCAGCCTAGGTGGGCACAGTTGCAACAATGGGGTGGGGTGGGGGCTGCTTCTCCTATAACTGCTGCCCACTGCTCCTGTTTGCAGTCCTGACGCCCAGTGTGGCTGGAGGCCAGTCATCTTGAAAGCTGGCAGAGATGCCATCTTTCGTCTTATAGCCCCTAAGCATGAGGATGGGGCCAGCTCCCACCTTCCTTTCCAGCTAATCTGAAGCATCACAGAGCGACCAAGGTGAAGGGTGACAGTGCTCTCATGAGTGGGTTGGAGGGGGTGACCCAGGAGGGGAGATGCACTGTCCAAGGCAGGCCAGGACTGCTGGGCACATCCCTTTTCAGTTTGAGAGCTGTCCCCAAGAGTCTCGTGCGTGGGAATATTAGTTGGTGTCTCAAGAATCTGTGTCCACAGAACCATCCTGCGTGGATCAGGTTCCTCTGGTGCCCGGTCACAACTGGTTTGCCCTGCCTGCCCTGCAGTGGGTGGGCAGGTGGGCGTTGCACCATAGCAGGTGGGCCTCCCCACTTTGCTTTGGTCCATGGTGCCTTTCCTGGTATAGAACCTTCAATCCTACTCCCCTCTGGGGCTTCCTGCAGGAATGGAGGAGGCAGGGGAAAAGCAGACCCCTGGTTGGGGTACACAGTAGGGGCCACATAGGAAATAAACAAAAAGGACAGAGGAGGAGGTGAAAAATGAAAATAAAAAACAACTGTTTTCTATTTACAAATTTAAATAAATAGAACAGCCTTCCCCGCGGTGTTTGTCTAAGAGTAGCAGCCTCGCTGCTGTGTAGGTCATGAAAAGGTTGGTGTAGAGTTTAAAACTTCCCATTCTGTTAATTTCTTAAAGAACAGTCGTCCAGAGTCTCGACACAAAAGCTCATGATTTAATGAGGAGCAGAAACAAAATCTCTGATTGTTGGTGTTTCAAATTTCATTGGCGTCCTCTGGCAAACACAAGTTGATCCTTCGCAGCTTCAATACCCTTTAGCCTTCAATATAAGAGCACATGCTGAATAGGAAAGAATGGCTGGTTGTTATGTTTATTTACCCTTCCTACAAGCTGGGATAACCTCTTCAAAACAGCTTTACTAAGCCCGTTAACCACACCACCCATATGACCTGCAGCAGCATCTCTAATGTGATGCAAATCTCGCAGGGGACCATATGCACCAGCTCGGTCGCATTGTGTCTTCTCAGAGGCTACAAGTTTATTGCTGAGGGGGCCCTGTCCCGGCCATACATTTACAGGGGAAATGGCCTCAATGGCAAACAGTTAAACGGGGAAATAAAGGGGGAGAATGGATGGTCCTGTTTCTGCGCATTTATTTTTTAATTGCTGGTAACTGTTGACCCAAAGCATTCGCCCAGGATGTGAGCTTTCATAGTTGTCACCTGGCAGCTCAAGGATTATGGATGCTTCATTTGGGGGGTTGGAGCTTAACAGTAATCAGTTTTGAAATTTTATTTTTAGAGATATCAATATAAACCAATATGATAGTTAACCAACTTTTCTATGCCACCTCTGTTGTTTTTATCAGATTTCTAGTGAAATAAACACAGCCTTTTCCTTTACTTATTATTTTTTAAAAGCCTGGCCTTTCTTAAAATTATTTATGGGATCAAGTGAACAAATGAACAACTTGGGAAACATCTAATGTGAGAAGGGTGAAGGGAGTACACGTATTTGGGAAAGACCTGTTTCATTAAAGACCTAACTTCCCCTCACAGCTCATCTTTGCTTACTGTTTTACCTCCCTGTGAGATAATAAGTCCATATGTATAACACATTAATGAACAATAAAATCATAAGGCTGGAACCAAACAGAAGAAAGTTCATTTTTAGAGGAATAACTGGCCAGTGAGATAACGACAATCACAAAAAAATGTGATTAATATGAACTGTAAGTGGAGAAAGGTTCTGATCTGGCATACTAACAAGTTGCCTTGAGTATTATGGTCTGCCTTTAAGAAACCCACTGTATATTTCAGCCCACCTGATGAGAGCTTGATTTAGCAGATCATTTTTCTTTGATGGATGTGGCAAGCGTAACAATGTTCTGGGCTTGCTTCAGTAATGGCATGTCGATCATACTCCCTTGGAACGTAAAGGCTCCCTGGAAAAAAGAGAATACAAACTTCCTCAAAGAAAGCTCAGAAATTATAGGCTTCCTTCAGGCACACACTTGTACACAAGAACATTTCAGATTCCACCTGAATTGTACTGACTTTCCAACCCAACTTTTGAGAAAGCCAAAGTAAATTACAGGGTAAAGTTTTTTTTTTTTCTTCTAAAGAGGAAAAAAAATCTTTTAGCATTTTAATGGAGTGGAAAAACATCAGACACAAGGTATTAGAAACTGTTCATTTAACTCTTGAAATCAAGTAAAAACAACAGTGGAAGGAAAATGTAAATACTTCCTTATAGGTTTTGAAATATTGCATAGAACTTTAAAAACAGTAATATGCTCTGGCAACTGATTATTGTTTGAAAAATGAATGTATGATCAGGTTAATGGCAAAATGCTTTCTTCATGCTATAACATAATTGAGGGGTAACACTATCATGGGACGAGAAAACATAAGGTAGGACTGTACTGAGTAAAAAGAGATTCCTCTGTTGGTTCACACTTGCAGAGCAGGATTAGAATGACAAGGGACATGAGCCGGTAACAAAAAAATCATAGGTCTGTTGAATGGTGAGACTGGAAGGAATCTCTGAGATCTGGTTTATCCCTTTTACAGATGCTTTTTTTTAAACCTTCTGGAAATAATTATTGAGTGCATCATGTGATCTAGGTCCTGTTCTAGATGAGAAACAGGCCCAGAGTAAAGTGACTTTCCAAGGTCATATGACTAGGAAAAGGTACAGGAAGGGCTAATATTTGGGCCTCAGAACTTCAAGCCTTCATCGCAGATCCCCACATTAAGACGACAAGGTAGTTCCTTGAGTCCATCAGAAAGAGAAAAACTTAATGGACAGAAGGCAGCATGCCCAGAATAGAAGTTAATGTCTGGATATTTATGTTCTTTTAATCACTTCTTCTTGCTGTTTGCAGTTACAGCTCTTCATGTTAATTCTCCTTCCTTCTACCTGTTGGCAAGGATACTGGTGTGAGTGGGAAGCAGGTGGTCTTTGGAGGCCTGGAGGTGGGTTAGAACAATCACAATCCTAGCCGATGGTCTCTGCATAGATTGCCCTCTATGGCTGGATTTCACAAGAACTGCCTGTCAACAGTCAATGCTGCCATTACTCAGGACTCCCTACATGGGTCTCCTGGGCTCTCTGGAAACCCTCATCTCCCACAATAACAGAGAACTCTACATAGGATGGAGGTAAAAAAAAATTATCAGGGAATCCTTAGCAATGGCCTCAGAATTTATCTTTCAATCAATAGAGAGATTTAAAAGCCACTAGGATTAGAATTTTCATAAGGACAGTCATGCGCCACAAACAATGTTTTGGTGAATGACCAAGACCACATATATGGTAGTGTCCCCATAAGATTATAATGAAGTTGAAAATTTCTTATCTCCTAGTGATGTCGTAGCCATTGTAATGTCATAGTGCAACACATAACAATTGTCTACAGTATCCAGAACAGTGACATGCTGACAGGTTTGTAGCCTAGTAGCAATAGGCTATGCCATATAGCCTAGGTGTGTAGGTTTGTGTAAGTGCTCTCTATGATATTTGCACACGATGAAAGAGCCTAGTGACATCTTTCTCAGAAAGTATCCCTACAGTTAGGTGATGCATGATTGTATTCCTTAACCTTCCCAGCCTTGGAACGATAAATCTGATTCATGTGAACACCTGTGTGGATTAAAATCTGGTACTATAAGTCATTTCTAACCCTGTTACTTTTACCATTTATAGTCTCAGATGGGCCTGTGACTAATTTCATTCAGTCTAGAACTAATTTTGGTCATCTCTGTGACTATGATAAATTTCATGAATTTGGTAGAAGTTCCAAGGATGTTCCGTGGGTTAGCATGACACGTGAAATCAGGGCGTGGGACTCATGCTGTTTTACAAGGCATTAGTCTAGTTCCCTTATTGGAGTAAATGATGAAGACCAAAGGCCTCCTGGTTACCCGCCCACCAAGTGGATTATGGCCCTGTAAAACAGCACATCTGCCCTGCTAAGTCCGAAATAATAGGCTGGCGAGATGACATTAGCATAGATGCACATGAAATCACAATGATGCACAGAGAATCAAAATGACAGCGTTGGGTCTATGCCACGTTCCCGAACCTGCCCTGGGTTCCACATGCATATCAAAGATGCAGAATATTCCATGTAGTGTTTCAAGACACAGATAATTTCTTTCTTCTACGGTGGCAGATTTTGCTTAACTTCCTTTATGAAGCTTAAGCTGGACAACAAAATTCAACATTTTTGTTCTTTGTTTCCCTTATCTACGCAAATTGAGGATTTTAGTGTTAGGAATTAGACGGCCTAATATGAATATCCTCCTGCTTTCATATATATCGACCTACAATATGGGTTGGTTTTTAACATATGGATCTACCTTTGAAATGTGAATGGACTGTTGGTCAGGATTTAGTAAAATGCAGTTTGTCAAAAGCTGCTTGGATTTGCAGGGAGGGTTTGAAACATGCCATAATGGTTACAGATAAGTTTCAGTTTCACAGCCCAGTGCATTCCTGAGAAATTGGCACACGTAGCGTTTCCAAAGTAAAGGAACTTCCATCAGCTTGAAGATTCAGACTGTAATTTGGTTTAAAATGCCTTTAAATAGTAACTCATTCATGGTTAAAAACCTCAACAACTACCACTACAACAATAATAATAGCTATCATTTTTTGAGCAGTTGCTAGCTTGGCACCGGATGTACTTTATTTCATGTAATGCTCATCGCAATAGTGTGAGGTAGACACTATTACTCATCCCATTAACAATACTTCTTTTTAATTGTGTAAGAACACATGACCCAAAATTTACCATTTCAACCATTTTTGATTGTACAGTTCAGTAATGTTAAGCATGTTCACAGTGTTGTGTAACAGCTCTCCAGAACTTTTTCATCTTGTAAAACTTGGTCACTTTCATTAAACAACTACTCCCGTTCCCCTCCCCTAGCCCCCAGCAACCACCATTCTGCTTTCTGTTTCTAGGAGTCTGTATTCATCCCCATTTTATAACTGAAAACTGAGGCACGAAGAACTTAAGAAACGTGTACCTGTCTGCCCTGCAGCTAGTAGGCACAGAAGTGGGATAAAACCTGGCTCTCTCTGATCCAAAGCATGTGTTCCTGGCTTATCCCCTGGGCTTGCTGATTGAAAAGTGTTCTCTGAGTGAGGTCCATGACTGCCTGAATCAGAATCATCTGAAGGGTAGGGCTGCTTGTTAAAATGCAGATTCTTGGGCTGGATCCCATATGGTTTGATGCAGAAGGCCTGTGGGTTGGCCAGGAATTCTCTGATGATTCTAATGCATGTTTGAGAAGCTCAGTGTTTTAGCTCCCCTGGGTAGAAATGGTTAGGCCGGCTTTGGTATGGGTACAACTCCATCCCTGCCTTCAAGGAGCTTACAGTTTGCTGGAGGAGACAGGGAGGAAAGAAACAGGTACAATATAATGCAAGAAGAATGAGAGGGAAAGCCAGTGTGACGAGCACAGAGGGATCGGAGGGTCTGAACTGGCTGCCCTTCCCAGTCAGGATCCTTTGCCAGTTTGCACAGTTCACTTAGATATGATGTGGGGTTCCTACAACAGGCCACGCATTCCCCACTAGAGTTGCCACGGAGCTCCCTGCACAATGGGCTTTTATTCCACAATTACCTACTGAGTTATTTGTTGTAAAAAATGACTGGCCAATCACTTTGGCACATCTTACTATACACATGTCTATGTTTTCAGTATCCCGGACGTGAAGGGTGGTATCACCTTCGCATGGGTGTTACCTGCATAGGAAGGAAAATGTTTGCTATTGGGCTGTAGTTTTTCTAACACCTTGGTCAAACCTGGTGGCAAGTTAGGCATCAAAATAACATGAACTTAATCAGACCCTGAAGTTCTTCATAGAGGGAGAATCTGACTTATAATTTGATGGCAAAAGTATCGATGATGGTGGTGGTGATGATGACAATAGTAATCATATGCATGGGAAATATTCATATGTTTTGCATTTCTGGCACTTAGTACTTGAGATTCTTTTTCTCTAGAGTATTCAAAGAGTAATTTCCTAGAAACTGTAAGTGGAATCTAACGTTTTCCAATGACTTCTTTGGGCATTCCGGGAGTTCCCTCTGGTACCTTCCAAGGATGGTGTTGCTGCAGTTCTCCATGAGGGGGTTCCTCTGTCGGCACTGACGATAACTCTTGAGCACAGCTGTTACAGTCCTTCTTTGCCAGGGTGACACTCTTCCTCTGTGATGCTAAGTCTTACACCCAATGAATTATTTACCTCAAGCAGTTCCCAGGGAATTCCTAAAACTTTCAGTCAGCATTGGCCATTATCAGATTCCTCTTCAAGATCTTGGTTGTGTCTCCACTTGCTAAGTCCCCTCCGGTCCAGCCTGTGATAAGCTCGTCCTTACACACAGTCACCTGCTCCCTGATGCTCACCGTGGGCGGAGATGGTGCTCTGGCCGAGCACCGTTTCATTCCATTCTTCTTCCTTTCCAATGTTTCAACTTATCAACTTGGAGAGTCCTTGGACAGGCCCCAGTGTAGCCTTGGTACCCTCCCAATTTGGTTATGATGTTCCTTTTAGGATGTAAGTTTGGTTGCTTGTCACCCAAAGCTCAGTGTCACCCTGCCCAGCTCCCAGGCTGGCGAGCAGAGGTCTCAGGGGGAGAATGCCAGGACACTTAACACCCCATCTCCAAATTCTTTGAGTTCACAGGACCCAGTACCCAAAACATGGTTCAGAGTGGAGCTTGGCTCTTTTGTGGGGCCAGAGCAGGGTGACTGAGGGGACTATGATCTGGGAAGATAGAATCTATCTTATGTTTCTTCTTTTCTTATCTGCCAGCATCTTTCTGCACCGCTTGATCTTTCCCTGGTCTGGTAATATACTCACTGGTCAGTTGGCCAACACTTGCTGAGCCTCCAGTAGGACACAGTGTCTAACCTCAACAAATGTGAC